ACCAAGTGGTCCAAAAGGGCCCAGAAGGCAGCAGAAACAGCATGAAGGTGCTCTGGATAGGAGACGATACTGCACAGTGGAAGGTGGACAGTGGTCGGGGAAGAGGCCCAACAAGGCCAACTTTCCACTGGCAGAAAGGGGATGGCACAGTGAGCAAGGGCACCAGCACACATGGAGCTTCTCAGGGGCACAGTGGGCAGTGTTCAGCTCACAGCTGGTGCAAACACTCTAATGTGGCCACAGCCCTTATGCCCAAGGCCAGGAAGCACCAGTCTGAGGAACTGAAGCCACAACCTGAGGAACAAAGGAGGCTGGAGGTTGGGAGGAATGAGAACCTCACCTGGCCTAGGGAGTTGGGATAAGTCTGGCTGTCTGGCCCCGGACCTATGGTGTCAGGACATCAGTGGCCCTTGGCCAGGCTGAGTTTGGAAGCCAGGGCAGTGGCGACATGGATGGGGCAGCCTCACCTGCACAGCAATGACAATAACTGGTTTGTGGCCCATGAAAATGCTCTGCCTAAGCCACCTAGAGGGTGACAGGGAGCCACAGGGGCTGTTCTTGGATTTCAAGGTACTGTAGTCACTGTTTCAGGTACACATCACCGGCCATTGGCTGAGGCCAGAAGTCTGTATGATGGCGACTCATGGTGGGGTTAGGACCATAGGACCCTCCCCTGACACCCAGAAACCACCGGTCCCCCTTGCAGACTGGGGCCCCTGGCCTTCCTGCATGGCAGAGCTATGGCTCAAGTGGAAGGTGCTGCCCTCCCTGCACTACAGGGACCCCCCTTCCTTCACTCTGGGCCCTCTCAAGTGACTAGGGGTTCAGGCGAGGGGGCCCCAATGGCCACCTCCTCCATGCTGCTGCTGGGAGGATTTGAGGAATCAGGGGATCACAGCCTCCTGTCATTTGGAAAGGCCCGTTATTGTGGGGGTGGACCTGTCTTGCAGGTGCCATTTACTGGGCAGGCGTTGGTGGCCTGGGGGTGGGGGAGAGTCTGAGCCCCAGGCTGACCAGACTCTGAGTGACCAGCTGCACAGACACAAGTTCCATGGTACCGTCTCTACAGGTCCATGGTACCCAGTGGATGGCTGCCCTCCTGACAGTGTACCAGTGAAGTCCCCGTGCAGAAGGTGAGTCAGGATGGGCCATGGTTAGTCACAGGCCCTGGGAGTAAGAATGGGTGGCAGTGGGAACCTGCCTGCAAACTCAGGGCACAGGGCTCACTGTGCCATCCTTACAGCCAGATTCTACATGCACCAGTGAGGTTTTCACCTCCAGGTGATTTAG